CCGCCTGTTTCTTCATTATCCGCTGAGCCCTCATTAGATGCCTTTTCAATTCCTCCAACACCCTATCCCGCTCCTCTAATTATTGTTTCATAGAAGAAACTGGTGTGCTGCTCTGCCCAAATTGCACCAGGTGAGGTGGATTCCTTCCATACAACACTTTAAAGAGAGTCATTTAGGACTCCGAATGATATGAAGTGTTGTACTAGTACTCTGTCCATGATAGCCACTTGACCCACATCCGAGGTCTCTGAAACAAAACATTATAAGTAAGTTTCTAAGCTCCTGTTAACCACCCCCGTCTCCTCATTTGTCTATGGGTGGTAAGCGGTGCTACTCTTCAGTGCTGTCCCATGCAGCCTGAACAACTCCCTCGAAAAGTAACTAAGGAACACCTTATCATGGTCGGACACTGTAGACTATGGTATCCCATGTAGTCTGACACCTCCTTGATAAATGCCGTTGCCGCCGTCACTGTCATGTAAGGATGTCGTAAGGGAATAAATTGTGCATACTTGTTCAATCTGTCAACTACCACTAGAATCACTATAAACCCCTCAGATCAGGATAACCCATATATAAGTCCATGGTGACCTCCTCCCATACACTGTCTAGTAAAGCGAGGGGTTGAAGTAATCCCCCTGGAGCCATGGCCATGTACTTGTTCCGCTGGCATACCTCACATCTTGTCACAATCTCTTCCATATCTTTGTGCATCCCTTTCCAATATAGCTTTACTACTAATCTCTTGTATGTTTTTTATACACCAGAATGAACCTCCACTGCACTCCCATAGAACTCCTGCAACAGATGTGGAATATGGATTGATGTCCGAGGCAACACAAATCTCCCTTGGTACAACATTCTCTCCCCCTATCGACATCAATAGATCTATTATGATATGCCCTAGAGGGAATAGCCAGGGTGACTATTCACATTCTTCAGTAGATCTGCTCTGATCCTCCTCAGCTCCTTATCCTGCACACTCTCTTCCTTAATAGCCCCTCAATCCAACATCAGTGATTTCGGCATAGCTAACTCCTAGAGCTCTCCCGCACATCTGGACAAGGCATCAACCGTCTTGTTCTCCAACCCTGGCCTATATTGGATATCAAAATCATAGCCTAACAACTTTGAAAGCCACCTCTGATGTTCCTCAGTAACCATCATCTTTTCTAACAGGTACTTCAAGCTTCTTTGGTCTGTCCTATGATGAAATGTCGGCACAATAAGTCAGTCCGCTACTTCTGAATAGCCAACACTATTTCTATCAACTCCCTTACGTAGACAGACTTAAACTTGGCTCTAGCTGTCAACACCTGGCTTAAGTAAGCTATGGGCCTTGGTTCTACATGTGCACTGCCTCTAATCCATACCCCGATGCGTCAGTTTCTACCATAAAAATCTAGTTGAAATCTGGCTGTGTCAGGACCAATATCATGGTTATGGCCTTCTTTAATCTCTCAAAGGCTTGGGTAGTCGCCTCTCCACAAGAAACTTTCCTTCTTCAGCTGCTCTATTATGGCTAGGCTATGATGTTATATCCCCTCACAAATCTCTGATACTATCCAGTCAATCTTATAAAACCCCTCAACTCCCTCAGATTCTTAGGTAGAGGCCACTTAACCATTGCCTCATTTTATCCTGATCAACGACCACTCCCCTCTTGAGATACCACGTGCCCCAAGTAGTCCACACTAGCTTGTGCAACTGTAACACTCCTAAGACCACTCTCAAATGCTCCAAGTGCAACTCGTCTAATCTATTGTACACCGAGTTGTCATCAAAGAACATCAATATGAACCTCCTAAGATATGGTCGGAACAACCTGTTCATGAAGGAATGGAATGCAGCGGGGGCGTTGGTGAGGCCAAAGGCATCACCAGGAACTTGTAGTGTTCCTCATGAGTCCTGAATGCAATCTTGGATTTTCATCCTCCATCATCCTGATATGATGGTAGCCAGACTTCAGGTCCAGCTTTGTAAACACCACTGCTCTACATAGCCATCCAACAGCTCATCTATCACCAAAATGAGAAACTTCTCAGGCACAATCTCCTTGTTTAAGGCTCGGTAGTCAACGAAGAATCTCAACCTCCCATCCTTTTTCTTAACTAGTAAGATTGGGGTAGAAAAAGGGCTCTCTTAGCCTTATGATCTCTGCCTTCAGCATCTATCTGATCAACTTCTTTATCTCATCATTTTGAATCTGAGGATAGCAGTATGACTTGACACTAATCAATGACAATCTCCCTCAAAGTGATGGCGTGCCCTTGGTGGTGACAATCCTTGAGGTGTCTGAAAAACCTTATGGAACTGCTGTATAAGCGGTTGTATTGAAAGTTCCACCAAAAATCTTCCTCCCACCTCCTGTATGGTCCTCACCATGATTTTGAGTGACAACCACGGCTTTGGATAACTTTGCATCACCTCTAATCATTACCCTTCTTCCCTCCGCCACCAATTCCACCGTCCGTGATCCCCAATTAACCTTGGTATCCCCAAATGTTTGTAGTTATTTCATCCCCAAGATGGTATTAGTGCTCCCCAACTCCAATGGGAGAAAATCCTCTCTCACATGGACCCCATGTATGGTTAGAACCACCCCTTACACACTCCTTTATCCGTCTCCACCTTTCCAGTGCCCATCATCATTCCATAGCACCCTGTATCCACCAATTTCACTCCCAATTGGTCTACGACCTGGTTGAAATGATGAAATTGTTTGTCGCCCCATTGTCTATCAACACCACCAACTCCATGTCTGCTATTTCTCCTTTTACTTTCATAGTGTGATATGGAGTGAATCCCACCACTAAGTTCAAGGAGACTTTTGCCATGTCTAGATGAAACTCTTCCTCCTTTACCACCACCTCACTCTCACTTCCCTCTCATCTTCCTCGTCTTCTCAGTCGGTGAGAACCTGAAAAATTTGGTCCTTACACATGTGCCTCGTGTATACTTCTCATCACACTTGAAACACAGTCCCTTAGCCCTCTTCTCATACAGCTCCTTCTCAGTGAATTTTTTGAAATTTTCCTCACACCCTTCTCTTAACAGGCTTCTTCTTTGAAGTCTCTCGAAGGCTACCTAGTGTCGGCTCCTTTGGTGTTAAGAAAGTGGTAGTCATCCTGTACGAACATCCTAAGTTGCTGCCTCTGGCACCCCTCTCCAGGTGCTTATGGTCCTCTACTAACTGTACTAGCTCCATAGCCTCTACCAAGTCATGAGGCCTCATCACTTTAACTGCCATCTGGATCTCTAATTTGAGCCCCTTCATGAAGTTTCCCTCTAACATAGTCTCAGAAAGCTTGTCCAGCCGGCTAGCAAGATACTCAAACCTCTCACGGTACTCTACACTGAGCCTTCTTGCGTTAGGGCAAAAAAATGCTCATATAAGTCTCCTCCCCTACTAGTTCGAAAACGTTCTAACAAGCAGTCATTGAACTCCCTCCAGCTTCGTATGAACTGTCTCATGTCTTTCCATTGATACCAAGCCAAAGCCTTCCCCTCCAAACATAGGCCAGCAGCTATCAGCCTCTCCTCCTCCGTCTGTCCGTTGATGGTGAAATGGCCTCTCCACCTTATAAATCCACTCATGTGCATCATCTCCCTCGAAGATGGGCATCTTCAGCTCCTCACTCTCAGACCGCCTCCGTTTTCCCTGACTCCTTCATAACCTCTAGTTCCACGAGGGATGGTCCTCCCCAAGTGTCTCGATCCTCCCTTATGCGCTCGTACCAAAACCCTCTTCAAAATAACCTCTCCTTTTGTCCCAATCCTCACCCCTACGCTCAAAATCATCCCCTCGTCTTGCAGAATCAACACCCATCCTTTCATACCTACTACTCAACTCCTCCCTAGAAATAGGCTCTATGGGAGGCATCTCATCTTCCCTGTCCAAAATCTCCACTTTTTGGTTTTCCCCTCTCCTTAGTGGTTAGAGTTTCCACCACTTTCTTGACCGCCAATAGCTCACTTTGTCTCCGATTTCGACGTTTTAGATTGGGCCTCAACCAGCTTCCCCTACATTTCTTCAAGAACAGCAAACTTCCCATCCATCATGGATGGCTGAAAACTGATTTTCAAATTTAGAAATTTTCTCCACAAAATCTGATTTTAATTGTCCCATCTCTCCTTCCAATACTTCCACTTTCCTCCCGGCCATAGGTACCACGGATCGATGCTCTGATACCAATTTGATAGGAAACAGATGCGGTTTATGCAAAATCAGTGGACAAAACCAAAAAATTGGGAAGAAGAACGCTCAAAAATAATTTTTATTATAAGATAATGCAAAGCAAAACAAGATATAATAAGACATTCAATTGGAGAGGAGGATCAAGCTCCCAAATCTCTAGTCGTCGACCAGAGCCCAAACACCCTATGCCCTAACCCTCCCAAAATTTCCCCCTTAAAGCATACAATCCAAAAGGAAATCCCAAAACTGCCATCCCTTTGAAATTTCCCTCTTAAGACGCATTAAAAGCTTAATTTGAAATGGCTACTTGGGGGGAGGGGTTGGTGACCACAGGGGCGAAACCTCTATTCCGGCTTTGATATACTTGGGAGTTGGGCCTGTCCCGTATGGACCGGCCAGACCGGTCCAACATAAATTTAATGGCATTTACTAGAACAATCCTGATAAAATGGAATCTGTATGGCATAAAATAACTCCCATATCTATGACAATAAAAATATAGAATTTATGTGAGACATAGTCCGCACAGAAAGGTGTGTTCTATATATAAATTATTATGCACCAAGATTTCCCCTAATTTTTATCAAAGTCTGCAACTTGTTACATGCTTTTATTCCCTTAGAATCTGTATGATATTACTCAGAAGGAACTGTAACAAACTTGTGCATTTCACCGTTCAATCTGTGGTGCCTACTTATTGTTCTTGCCAGAAAATTGACAGTTATAACGTGTTTGAGAAATAGGTATGCTACGCGGGCTTTGTTATGCATATTCATCAATATACCTAAACATCTCATTGCAGGAACACATGGTTCAAAGTCAGATATCCATGATATTGCCAAGAATTTGGATGAACTATCCCTCTGTGAGCTTCTAGATGGAAGTTACAAGTTTCCTAAGTTATTAGTGGATAAGGGAAAGAAGTATTCAAATTCAAATGATAGCATTCTTCTTTCCGTCAGAAAGGCTTGCTCCATTCTCTGTCCTCCACCTCATGGTATTGCAGAAAATGCCAGCAATTTAAAGGCATCTCAAAGCTCCCAGGACCCTAGTTTTTCGACCGGGAGTAGTTCTGATTGTGAAACCAAAGATAAACAATTGGAAGAACTGGTTACAAAGGACAAGGTTAGTTTTGCTAGTTTTCCTCTGCATCAAAATGTTACTGCCTAACTTGTTTTCTGTTTGTTTATTTTATTTATATCTAATACTGTTTGCAGGAACAGGATTCGCTTCAAGCAAACTGGAGTGAGTCTACTGTGCTTCAGCCTAAGAACATTCTGGAGCAATTGGGACTGCCTGCAGGTCATGAGCTTGAGGCTTCTTTGTTTAATCCTAGCGTCACTTCAATTCCTGTACAGCTTACCCCAAAAGCTAAAAGTTGCAGTTACATTGGGATGCCACCTTTCCCTTGGTCATTTTCTCATGGTGGAAATAGCAAGCCTGTTGAATATTGTAAAGTGAACTCTACTAAAAACTCATGTCATGGTAAATGGGTTAGAATAGGGAGCAGCTCCACCTCAATTGAGGATGATAAAGGTTTCTTATCGTGTTTGGTATTCAAGGAATATCCACATAATGTGGATACTTTGAGCCAGCAGAAAATTGATGATGTTCTTCAAGTCATGAGAAGTTTTAGTTCAATTCTCCAGCTTCCCTCTGATGGGCCGTCCAGTAAATCTATGGTTATGGGAAATCATCCTGATGTTGAAGTTCCAGAGATTATGAACTCAGTTCATGAATCTGGTGTCCCTGGTTCATTCAATTCAAAAGCATACCAACTGAATGATATTGCCCAATCCTTGAATGGTACTTACCTTGATAGTGATTCTAAGGACCATACATCTGGAGTAGTTTCAGTGTGTGAGATGAACCCGGACACTTCCAAGTTTAATTCAGCATTGAAGGATAAAGCAGTTTTGATAGAATGTAGAACAGCAAACATTGATGGTTGTTCTGTTAGTAGTGTGAATACTGGAACCAATAGCAGTTCATGGCAGCCTCCTAACTGGGATAAGTATAGGCAAGGTAATATTCTTTATCTGTTATTTTCATATCATTTGAAGGACGCCTTTTTTGGAAAATAATACTTTATTCTCTATGGTAATCTTCCCTTCACATTTGGCGGACCAGCTTTTTAAAAATTGAATACTCAACTGATGGTAATGCTCACGAACATGGTTTAGCCGATCATATTTTTTATTTGATCAGGTGTAGCTCCTGTGGAAGATAAGATTAGAGAGAGTCGTCTTAGATGGTTTGGTCACATAAAATGGCGGCCTTCCAATGACCCGGTTATGAAAGTAGAGGTATTAGATTTGACTTATGTTAAGAAAGGTAGATGTATGCCTAAAAAGATTTGGTTAAAAAATATTAGAAATAATATTTCTTTATTTGATTTAAACGAGAATTTGACTTTTAACGGGGTACAATAGAGAAAAAGGATTCATGTGTCCGACCCCTTGTAGTGGGACAAAGGCTTGATGTTGTTGTACTTATATCGATTAATCTAATGGTTCTTATTGTGTTTCTGGCTGGATCTTATTTTAGTTGGGTTTGCGAACAATGTGTAGGTTATTCTATGTAACCATTAGTTGCTGAATCTCATGGCTACTTTTGTTGATTGAATATACCTTAGTTTGGCTACAAGTTTTACTTTTGCTTGATATATCTTTGAAGATCTGTTGAAGAGACTGGCCACAAAAAATCTCCTTTGCCTGCTTGTTATAAGCAGTTTTATGGGGGCTTTGATGGCGCATAGGATGCTTATTTTGGCGGATAAACCATTGTGTTTTTTACTACGTTTTGTCCTGTTTTATGTTATATTGTCCTTATTTGTCATTTACGTTAGTTATTAGTGGTTATATTTGTTATTTAGGATTGTTTACACATGTTCTTATTTGTTTAAGGGTCTTTTGCATTTTGAATAGGGGATATTCTTAGGGATATACAATTTGGATGGTGATGACTGAAATATTACAAGTTCTTATTCTTTGAAATTTTAACTCGTTATGGCTGCCTGTGGAATCGCATCTTTTTCGTTCTTTGAAGATTCAATGTCTTATCTTGAGGGTTAGTGAAATGTTGTTCTGAGGAATCAACATGACTAATTTTAGGATTAACTATTTCATTTTCATTTCCTTTTCTCTCTTTTATGTCTAAATCCCTATGTTTCCACATTTCCACTTCCTATCCTGCTTCAGGTTTGCTCTGAGCTTGCAGCGGACCTCTTTTTTTCCTCTTGTTAGAGGCTGTATCGGTGGCACAAGGAATTTTTTTCACCTTTCTTTGCTTTTTCAACACAATTGCGGGTTGCTTGATTCTTGTAATTGGTTTTTATGCAAATTGCAAGAAATGCCAGAAATCTTCTTGGAACTGTTTTCTGTGTTTGTAAATGCAGAAATGCTTATTTTGGCTTTTACATTAAATACATTGAAAGTCCAATTATTTTGGCAGGAAATAGGCTAACTATAAGCAAACATAATCATTTTAATTTGGAAATATCACGCAACCTATTATTTGCTTCCGGAAATTTGTTGCACTTGAAATTAGAATAGGGAAATGTAGTCTCCCATTATTATTAACCATACCCAACTATTTGAGGATTTCTTTATATATTCTTTTTATCCATTCATTCGTATTAAGTGTTGCGTTAGTTGTTATATCTTTTCTATGCAAATATTTTTACGAACTTATATCCATGTTATCTTTGATCTACTTATTTTTTTTTTAATTCTTCAACACTAACCGTCTTGTGGGTGTATTTTTTGTCCTTCATTGTACATGTCCAAACAACTTAAAGTTTATATTTCACTATGTATGATTTAATTACTATTTTGTTGATTCATTCAATTGTTTAAAGTTCTTGAATATATAGCAGGATTACGCAGAGGTATTTATCTATGCTATTGGTATGGAGGTTTACTATTATTCATCATGAAACTCTTGAATGCACAGCAGAATGGGGCTGTGGGCTTGACTAAGCTGTCCATTGTGTCTACTTCTCCTTTTTTATATTCTAGAGCGTTGTGAGATTTTGAGAGTGATTGGAGTTCCAGATATTACTTTCATGGTTCTCCATGTAAACCTTCTCCTCCTATATTTTGCTGAATTTGTTTTTCTCGACTTTTTATCTGAAACAGTTTATTCCTCTGAGTTACTCTCTGCTGCCGAAACACTATTTGAGATGGCTTGCATCTCTGATCCAATGATAGCTTCAAAGCATTCTAATGGAAGGATTAGATGGCCGAAGACACCTTCAATGAAGACGATGAAAGCTCGCAAGTCCTCAAACTCAATTGATAAACCAGACAGGTCCTTTCCCATTGCAGGGCACAATAATCTGATCAAACAAGCAAACATACCAACTGCAAAACATCAGCCAGCAAACGATAGAAAAACAAATTTCATTCGTCCAAGTAGTAGCGGCCGCGAAACTGTAAGATGGTCATCAATTCCCATGTCAACTTCTTCATCCCCTCATAAATTAGAGAAGGATCTCAATCAAAGATTGCCGCAGGGAAATACCACATTCAGGCCATTATTGCCACCATTTTCTTCTCGAGCTGATAAGACTTATGAAAGTCAGATCAGGAAAGCACCCGCAAAGCCTCCTTCAGTTGCTTTTGAGGGTTCCTCCATCAGAGATTGGATTAGGGGCAGGAACAAGAGGTTTTAAGTGATTTGTACATTTTCCTAACACTTCAGTGGATGTAGCAGCAACTATCTGCCGCAAAATGATTGCGAAGGACGCATGTCAATTTGCAACTTGATCAGAGATTGAATTAACTTCACCTAACATTATTTTGTATAGCCTGACATGGCTGATCATAATTGCAGCTATTAGTTTCTGGCTATCCCTTTCTGTTGGGAAAGCTTTACTTTGTAATTTGGCTGTGAATTCCTTTCGTATGCATAATTGTCCCAGAAATGTGTTACTCCCATGCTTCTTATCTCGTTCACTTAGAAGCCATAAATTGTGTAACCAGATTACTATTGTTTTACACAGGTTCTGATGCCTGCCTTGCTTGCCTTTTCTGCTGTGAGAATTGTAGAGATGGAGAATGGAACATCTCCATGTCTGAGCATTTCGGAAGCTGCTTTAAGAAACAGTAAGAGCTGTCTCAAACGAAGTCTTAAATTAGAAATTTTGTTTTTAGTTTTGATTCAAGCTCCAAGCCAAGTTTGATTAAGGAATTTACGTGCCTGTATAATTTTGTGCATGGGAACATCTGCTACAGTAGTATATAGTTTATCGTTGAACAAAAAATTCTGCACAAACACAAATAAATAAATTGTGAGCAGCTCATAGGAGAAATGAGTTGTTTTACATAAAATTTGGGTAGGAGAAGATTCAGACGGCTTGGCCTTGTTGAATTAAATTTACTGGTTAGAGTTGTATATTATAAAGGTTGCACTTTTCAGTAACTTGGGAAATTGTTAATACTCTGTAGTGGCATAGTTTTTATAACAAGATTTTCATAGTAGAAGTTGAGAGACCTTTAAGATGTTAAGATTTGTCATCAATTGATGATTGGTGGTGTGCTCGATCATTCTCCATTATGAACGTGAAGGCAAACATTAGCCTTGGTAGAGATGATGGATGTCAGTGATGGTGGAAAATAGGGGAGTAAGTGAGCTAAGATAGCTTGCGATTTGGCTCGAGCTTGACTCGTTAACGAGTTCACAAGTCGAGTTTATCGAGCCACTAGTTTGAGCTTGAGCTCGAGCTCAACTTGGCTCAGCTTGAAAGCTCGTTGAGCCATTTGATTATAAAATATATTTAAAATTTAATTTAAATTAGTATTATATAATATATTTATTTTTTTTAAATTAATTCTACATTAAAAATAATTTTTTTTAAAATAAAATTTTAATTTAAAATTAAGAAATAGATCTCAAAATTCTAGTCAAGCTCGAGCTTTACAAAATGAGCTCGAGCAATTAAGTTGAGCTCGAGATTATAAATTTTTTAACGAATCAAATTTGAGCTCAATAAGAACTAAAGATGATTAGATTGATCAAGCAAATACTTGATTAGACTCTTTTACAACCCTAGTGTCAATGCTGACGATAATATTAATATCAATGATAGATGACAATAAAGATTTGCATTAATTTTATTAGCAATAATGATTTATGAATCTCTTAATGACATTTTTTGCTAATGTTGCAATTCAAAAAGCTCCCATTGCTGAAAAATTCTTCTTGAATTTACATTGGAAACTATAACTTAATTTTAAAATTTTGGTTGGTTTAGAGAAAATAGAAATTTGGAAGAATATGATATCATGCATATAATTTCATATAAACATCATTCATAAATGCAATTGACGTTTCTGTATATATATGACATAATAAATTCTTGTTGGGTTTTGATATGTCATAAAAAAATTATCTTGACCGGGCACAAATATCGATACAAAATCAAGTTGAAAAACTTCAAAAATTAAACTCGGCATCATATGAACTCTGATTTCAGCAAACTTATAGTCGAACTGAGCGTCTCGGAAATACGAACCCAATGACACCAAAATTGACTCAATCCGAGCCCAAATGGGTCTGAATCGAGGACTCGAAGCATTGTTGGATGGTCAAACCACAATTTGGATTATCAAACGGATTTCAAACATGACATGCTTATAGTCGAATCGAGCGACTTGACGAGTCGAATCCAACGAGCCTAAGATCGTAGAATTCCGACATCATTGAGACATTCAAATGTCCATTAAACAATCCATGATCAAGGGATTCAACATTGGTCGTCCATCCAACCACTTCTCATTTGCCCTTGATCTCTCACCTATTTATGGGTCATGCCACTCTAAAAGTCTATAAATAGAGTCCCCTTTTCTCTTGAAAAGGGACCCAATCAAGAAGAGAAGAGAATGCAAAATAGGAAGAAACTCTTCCTCGACCACTGCCTAACGTCGTTGCTCCGCCAGACTACCACCTGAGGCCCTGAGCTTCGCCGGACCACCACTTGAGGGCCTGAGCTTCGCTGGACCACCACCTGAGGTCATGAACTCCGCCAGATCACCACATGAGGGCCTGAACTCCGCTGGACCACCACCTAAGAGCGTGAACTCCGCCAGACTATCAACTGACACCAGAATTCTACAAAGTCACTACCAGACTACTAACTGACGCTCTAACTTCCAAGTGACACCAGATCCAACACTAGAATTCAACCATACGATTGATATTTGTAATCTGATCGTCCTCAAGGACGAGTCAGCCCGCTGTACTCAATTCAAATTCTAGTGAAATCTTTTCAATTGGGCTAGGCCCCGTGGTTTTTCCCCTTTCCAGGGTTTTCCATGTAACTAATATTGTTTTCTCTATGTGTGAGCTGGATATCCGTGCAGCGCTAAGACGTATAATTAAAACTCTATCGCCGCATATATTCTAGCCCGCAACAGGTTTCATATAAATATAGTGTATAGTTTCATTTGCTAATATATTTCAGTTACCTATTGAAATAAAATTGAATATAATTATTACGTATCAATAGAATTAATGCTTACAATTATGCTAAAAATGATACTGCTATATAATTTAAATTATAATTATTGTGTCTCCATTTTTTTATTGCCAATTCTATCTTTATGTTATTTTACTTTCTTAGTAATTATTATTCATATATTTTAAAATAAATAAATTGAAATAATATGGCAAAATGACTATATTATATTGATTTATTTATTGTAAAATATTTGAATAATGTTAAAGTATTTACCTAAATCTATGCAAATAAATAATTGACCCAAAGCATGATTATTTTTGGATAGATAATAAGTATATGAAGTAAGAAATATTTGATAATTTTAGTTTTATTCATACATGCATTATGTCAGCCCAAAGAAAGGTACATTATTGGTAGAATTTTATCTATATTTCTTTACTATAGTTTTAAGAGTATCACTTATAAATTGTTATATTAGTCCAGAGATTAAATTACAATGTTATATTAGGTGTCTTATGATAGTCAATCTTAGTTGTTTTATGTCAAGTATATATATATATAGGCCATTCTTTTAAAATATTGTACCTAATTTATGAATATGTTATATTCTTTTCAGTTAATGTTTATTCGATATCTGTCAATCTAAATAATATTTCAGCGCTCAATGACATTAATTTAAAATTAAGAAACCGAGCAAAAAAATGAGTCAAGGCTGAGCTTTACAAACGAGTTCGAGCAATCATGTCGTTTGATCAGGCAAATACTTGTCGAGCCGAGCTATATCTCAATAAGAATTAAACTAGCTTAATTTGATCAAGATAATACTTGACTCGACTCTTCTACACCTCTAGCGGCAATGGAGATTGTTAGTATTGATATCGATGACTGATGCCATCATTTATGTTAAGGATGGACATCAATGTTATTCAGAATAATGATTTATGAACTCTTAATGTACTCTTTTTTTTTGCTGTTGATGTTGCAATTCAAAAAGCGCCCTTTAGAGAAAATCCTTCAAGAAATTACATTGGAAACTATAACTTAATTTTAATTTCGAGATTATAACACCTTAAATGAGTTAATATAATACTTTTGTAATATCTCATTAATTGATTATACTAATTGACACCTTTTGTGTGAAACCTCTTATTCTCTCTTTTTTTCTTAAACTTTAGTGAGATTTAGAATCTCTTTGGGACAGTTTGCTCAATGCTTTGTTTTTTAGACGGTTCGAAAATATAAGTATTCTAAGCACTTTTATTTTCTTGCCATCTAAATTTCAGCACTCTAATTTGATTGTGGTTGAACTTATGATAGCAAAGTTATTATGGTTGATTGTAATTCATATTTGTTTAAAAAAAAGAAAAAAATTAATTATCAATTTTCTAAAAAAAAAAAAACAAAATAATTATAATTTTTTGAGTTGTATGGCGAGTTGATATATTTTGTTTATTCAAAAGCTTCTGCATAAAATTTAATTTTGGTTTTTAATTCAATGATTTTTGAAGAAATTTTTTAAATCACCAATGCACCTCTTTCTTTGTATGTCATGTTCACTATTAGAATATAACTGTGCACTTACAGCTAGATATATGTACAACAACTCACATAAGTGTGACTATGCAGGGTTGTGTAAGGAGCTAATTGTCAACCGATGTTGAAAGATTCATATATATGGAAAATGACAACAAAGCTTTTGTTAAAGCTATATAATTATACATATTGTATGTATAATCTAGTTGTATTTTGGATTTGTGTGATTTTTTATGTATAATTATAATTTTTTAAAAAAAATATAAAAACAAAATAATTATATTTTTTTTGAGTTGTATGGTGAGTTGATATATTTAATTTATTCAAATGCTTCCGCATCAAATCTAATTTTGGTTTTTAATTCAAAGATTTTTGAAGTTACCAATTCACATCTCTCTTGGTGTGCCATTTGCACTATTAAAGCATAAATGTGCACTAGCTTACAGATAGATATATATACAACTACTCACATAAGTTTGACTATGCAGGGTTGTGTATGGAGCCAAGTGTCAGCCAATGTTGAAAATTTCATCTATATGGAAAATGACAACAAAGTTCCTGTTAAAGCTATATGCTTATATAGATTGTATGTAGAATTTAGTACTTATACTTTGGATATGTGTGACTTTTTATGTATCATCATTTAGACTAAATCTGATTTCTATTTCTTATTCGGACAAATTTGATTACTCTTGTTCATTTAGAAATAATAATAATAATATTTTTTCAAGGATTCAAATATTATTGGTATGAATTTTTAATTAATAATCCATATAAATTGAATATATTCGCATCACAGATAAATAAAACTTTGCATACAAATAATTATGATATAAAGATAAAATTAACTAATGAGAATTTATTTATATCATGACACGTGTTTAGGATATATTTCTAAACAAAGAATTACATGGCTTGTATGAGATGAAATTCTTATTTTTCTTAATTTTTTCTTATTTTGAAATTTGATTGAATATTAAAAAAATAAATAAATATTAATAAATA